ACAGCTTCCCCCTATCTTATCAACATTTAAAAATTTCCCCAAAATATTCCCCCATTTCCCCAAATCCTCTAAACCTCCATTAATAACTCTCCTCTCCTATTTTTAACTGACAAATCCATTTGTTCTCTAGGCTTTCTTAACTTGTTAATCTCACTCCAAAACTTTTTCTTATTTTCATGTATGTGTAGTAAATAAAGATATTATTATTGTTACTATTATTATTATTATTATATTATTTTCTCAGTTGTTTGTTGGGTTATCTTATTCAAACTTGGGCAATGTATGATGGAAAGATACTTCTTAACGTACACCAAAAGTGAAAGAAATCAGACCATAAATAGCGGAGTTCACTTCTCAGCCATTAGCGGCTGCTTAGCGGTATATTTTTGTATGTTTTTATGTTTATATTCTCATTTTTTCGGTCTCATTTGATAGAATGAAATATATATTACAGAAATAGATATGATTTTGATTGCTTTCATGATGAAAAGTACCTTGAAATTGCACTCACAGTAGCGAAAATGTTCTGTTCTTTAGCGAAGCTCAAGAGTAAACAAATGACGTCACCATCCAATACCTGTCCGCCTGCCAGTCCAAATTCCAATACGGAGTCAAGAATGGCTTGACATTATTTATACAATTATTACAATAATGCAGCAGTCTGCATAACAGTAAATCTTCTATTTTTTTGTGTGAATAAAAATTAAAAATGGTAAGCAAGAGTAATATAAGAGGGGCCTGGAGCCATGACTAATGAACAGAGAAAATGTTATTTTAGTGCCAGGAATGTCTGCATTGTTTATTCTGGATCCTATTTTGAAATTGGCATCTGTTGAAATTTGTGTGAAATTGGCCGAAATGCCAATTTCTGACCACTTTATTGGGTACTTGAAATAAGTGAATGGGCGGTTTCTTGTACTCAGTTGACAGACTAGAAGTAAATAAGTTTATTCAGGTATACAAAAATACAGTTACATAGATTATCATACATAGCAGCGTATGTATAGAGAACCTAGGATAACTCAGAAAAGTCAAAGTGACTTATTTCCAGTACCTGGCTTGGGCTTGTCATATACGATTTTTGGTAAATATTTTTTTTTCTCGGTTGTTTGTTGGGCTATCTAATTGAAACTTGGGCAATGTATGATGGAAAGATGCTTCTTAATGTACAACAAAAATAATAAAGATGGATGATAAATAAGGGAGTTCACCTCTCAGCCATTAGCTGCCTCTTTGCAGTATATTTTCATGTGGTTTTTATGGTTGTATTCTCATTTTTTGTACTCATTTGATAGAATGGAAGATCTATTACAGAAATAGACATGATTTTGATTGCATTCATGACGAAAAGTACCTTGAAATGGAGCTCAAAGTACCGGAAATGTTCGATTTTTGCGTCAGTCAAGTTGGTTAATTTTATTAAGTGTATTCTAACCTAACTACTCTGTAATCCAGCAAACTCAGTAATCTGGCACACTACAGGTCCCAATGATGCCGGATTTGTGATGGAGGACCTGTATATGCACATAGCTCAGGGCAAACCAAGTGTACAGAAGTGTATGATTCACTCTATATGCCATATTAATATTTAGACAATTATATGAACAAGTATAAAGTGCTGTAGACAATGCAGAACAAAACACTGGCAAATAAAACAGAAATTTTAATCATAAAAGTTAACACTTACGTTTGCAGTATAGAACTTTTCCCAGAGCTCTGAAGAGAAAGAGAGAAGCATCCTTCCCTCCTATTGCAGCAAATCCATCAAGATTATCACATTTTATAGAAACATCTTTTCTTGGTTGAGCTTTGTTAAGGGATTTATGTCTTGTCAGTTTTCTTGTCTGTGATGATCCAGTGAATAACCCTTCAAGGTGACTTGAATCTGCCAGCAGAGTTTCATAATCTGAGTTAACTTATATGATGATATTATGTACTGCATTTGATCAGCCTCTTCTGATATTAGAACTAAAATGAATACCACCTCTTACCACAGTTTCAGGCAAAGCTGAACAAAAAACTCATTTGTAATATACAGTAGACCGTCAATTAAGATGGTAGTTATGTTCTTGAAAAATGTGTCTAAGAAAAAAAATCTAAAACAAACTGAAGAACATACAGGAAAAATAGGGTTACATTGCGTGGACTCCCAAAAATAGCAAACATCTTTATCTTCCTCTCTCCAAATTATAAACATATAAAAATGATAATGTAATTGTAGATGGTAATTTTTTTTTAACACATCAGCCATTTCCCACCGAGGCAGAGTGACCCAAAAAGAAAGAAAAACACAAAAATAAAGAAAAAACTCATCATCATTCAACACTTTCACCATCAAAACATACATAACCACTGTCTTTGCAGAGGTGCTCAGATATGACAATTTAGATGTCCCTCCAAACTGCCAATATCCCAAACCCGTCCTTTAAAGTGCAGACATTGTACTTCCCATTTCCAGGACTCATGTCTGGCTAACCGGTTTCCCTGAATTTCTTTACAAAACATTACCCTGCTCACACTCCAACAGCTCGTCAGGTCCCAAAAACCATTCGTCTCCATTCACTCCTATCTAACATGCTCACACATGCTTGCTGGAAATCCAAGCCCCTCGCCCACAAAACCTCCTTTAACCCCTCCCTCCAACCTTTTAGGGAACAATCTCTACTCTGCATTCCTTTCCCTACAGATTTATAAGCTCTCCAAGTCATTCTACTTTGTTCCATTCTCTCTAAATGATCAAACCACCTCAACAACCCCTCTTCAGCCCTCTGACTAATACTTTTAGTGACTCCACACCACCTCCTAATTTCCACACTATGAATTCGCTGCATAATATTTACACGACATATTGCCCTTAGACAGGACATCTTCACTGCCTCCAGCTGTCTCCTCGCTGCAGCATTTATAACCCAAGCTTCACACCCATATAAGAGTGTTGGTTCCACTATACTCTCGTACATTCCCTTCTTTGCCCCCATGGATAACGTTTTTTGTCTCCACAGATACCTCAATGCACCACTCACCTTTTTTCCTTCATCAATTCTATGGTTAGGTTCACCCTTCATAAACTCATCCACTGACAAGTCAACTCCCAAATATCTGAAAACATTCACTTCTTCCATACTCTCTCCCTCCCATGTGATATCCAATTTTTCTTTATCTAAATCGTTTGACATGCTCATCACCTAACTCTTATCTATGTTCACTTTCAACTTTCTACCTTTATACACCCTCCCAAACTCGTCCACCAACCTTCGTAACTCTTCTTTAGAATCCCCCGAAAGACCAGTATCATTAGCAAGAAGTAACTGTGTCAACTCCCATTTTGTATTTGATTCCCCATAACTTATTCCCACCCCTCTCCCCAACACCCTAACATTTACTTCTTTTACAACCCCATCTATAAATATGTTAAACAACCATGGTGACATTAACATGAGCTTCACTATCCTCATAAAAACTCTTTACAGCATTTAGTAACTTACTACCTCAAATCAAATCAAAATCAAAACCTTATTTCTTTGCTAAGTTTACAATGTGTGTTTACATTTCAAAATTTGATAGGTACAAAGAAGCCACTATCATGCCAAGGCATGATAGTGGCTTCTTTGTACCAGGGAGAGTGGTAGATTACAAATATTCAATATTTTACTCTATTATTAATGAGGTAGTACAATTTATGATACAAACATACATTTTAAGTTTGTAATAATGGCTTAATAGTTAAGGGATAATAAAATATTTGGGAGAGTTGCTTTAAATTTGGTCAGAGTTTAACATAGTGTGGGTATGGTTGTTACTGGGAGACGAGGCGATTTTTGAGTATGCAGTAAGGCCCCGTTTTACGGAGTTTTTCTTTACGGCATCCCGCTAATATGGTCATTTCAAATTATGACCAAAACTCTATATGGCTACCCCCACCTGACTTTTCAATACAGTCACTGTGCCCCACCCGATTTGTTTACATTCTCAGTGAGCTCCGTAAGCACTACATCTCCATTGTGCCTGGAAATTCCAAAATTTCAAGTGTTTTTAAAAGTTTTCATATTTTATATATACTGTACATGTACTCTGATAAATTTTCTTATGTATACCTGTTCCTAAATAAACTTACTGTGCTGGCGTGCAGGAAACAAAATCAGTGTGTCTTATGTCTCGAGATGCCATATTAGTAATGATAATAATATTCAATAATCATCACTGAGTCTCATTATTGTCGTATATTAAGTTAATACAGTGGAACCTCTACTTGCAAGCGCATCCACATGCGAGTTTTTCCAAATACAAGCAGTTGATGGGTCGATGTTTTGATTCCATACATAAGCAAAATTTCAATAAGTAAGCAGACCTCAAGGGAGGTTCCTTGATGCTGGTGAGGGGCTCTTGCTCTTGATCTAGGGAATCGTATCTCATTTGTTTGTTGGACTATCTTATAGAAGATATAATACAGAAATAGATATGATTTTGATTGCTTTCACAAGGAAAAGTACCTTGAAATTGAGCTCAACACAGGAGAAATGTTCGATTGTTTTGGCTATGTTGAAGAGTAAACAAATAACGTCACTGTCCATTCCAAAATGCAGTCGTGAATGGGTTGACATTATTTATACAATTAATGCAATATAGCATAACAGTAAATCTTATTTTTTGTGTGAATAAAAATTACAAATTATTTATATTGCAATAATAATATGTATAATAATAATAAAAAAGAAGCGCTAAGCCACAAGGGCTATACAGCGCTGCAATAAGTATAATAATATAATACAATAAGAATAATAATATGTTGTAGGTCTTAGACAGGGATGTGTAATGTCACCATGGTTGTTTAATATATTTATAGATGGGGTTGTAAAAGAAGTACAGGTCTCCCTCAACATTCGCGAGGGTTAGGGGATCAAGAGCCTCGCGAATGTTGAAAAACCGTGAATGTTTGGTGCCCCAATATGTTGTAGGGAAATATATTACAATACTGCTTCCTTAACTTGTTGAACCATGAATAATCATAAAATACATGAAAACTTCGTAAATTGTACTAAATATATACATGTTATGCTTTAATAACGTATGTTAATAACATGTATGTTATTAAATACCACAGACTCCACCACTGCGAGTCCCTACTACCCTCCCTCCGACCCCCGCAACTGGCAGCCAGCCCTCCCACCAATCAGTGTGGCGAGTGTTTTGTTTGTTCATTATTTGCTATTAAACTACAGAATAAATAATGTAAACCCATTCATGACTGCATATTGGAATGGGTATTCGGACAGGTATTAGACGGTGACATCATGTGTTAACTCTTGAACACAGCAAAGAATTGAACATTTCTGCTATTGCTAATAACAGTAGTAGTAGTAATAGTAGTAGTAGTAATAGTAGTAGTAATAGTAATAGTAGCAGTAGTAATAGTAATAGTAGTAGTAATAGTAGTAATAGTAGTAGTAGTAGCAGTAGTAATAGTAGTAGTAGTAATAGCAGTAGTAATAGTAGTAGTAGTAATAGTAGTAATAGTAATAGTAGTAATAGTAGTAGTAGTAATAGTAGTAGTAGTAATAGTAGTAGTAGTAATAGTAGTAGTAATAGTAGTAAATAGTAATAGTAGTATAGTAAGTAGTAATAGTAGCAGTAGTAATAGTAGCAGTAGTAATAGTATAGTAGAGTAGTATAGTAATAGTAGTAATAGTAGTATTAGTAGTAGTAATAGTAGTAGTAATAGTAGTAGTAGAATTGTTAGTTAGTAATGTAGTAGTAATAGTAGTAGTAATAGTAGTAGTAATAGTAGTAGTAATAGTAGTAGTAGTAATAGTAGTAGTAGTAATAATAGTAGTAGTAATAGTAGTAATAGTAGTATATAATAGTAGTAATAGTAATAGTAAGTAGAATAATAGTAGTGGGTATAATATAGTAAAAATAATAGTAGAAATAGTATAGAATAGTAGTAATAGTAGTAGTAGAAAGAGTAGAATAGTAGTAGTAATAGTATAGTAATAGTATTTAAATAGTAGTAGTAATATAGTAGAAAGTAATAGTATAGAAATAGAAAGTAGAATAGTAATAATAGTAAGTAGTAGTAATAGTAGTAGTAAATGGGTAGTAATAGTAGTAGTATAATAAAAATAATATTAGTAGTAGTAATAGTAGTAGTAAAGAAATAGTAATAATTTAGTAATAGAAAGTAATAGTAGTAGTAGTAATAGTAGTAGAAATAATATAGTAGTAATAAGTAGTAGTAATAGTAGTAATAGTAGTAAATATAGAAAGTAATAGTAGTTATAGTAATAGTAGTAGTAGTAATAGTAGTAGTAGTAATAGAAAAGTAGTATAGTAGTAGTAGTAATATAGTATAGAAATTTGTAGTAGTAATAGTAGTAGTTAATAATAATAGTAGTAATAATAGAAATAATAATAGTAAAATATAAAAATATTAATAAAAAAGTAATAATATATAGTAAAATATAATATAAAAAATAATATAATAATAGTAATAGTAATAATAGTAAATAGTAAAAAATAATAAAAAATAATAATAAAAATACGATATACAGTGACCCCCGCATACCGTACGCACCCGCATACCTTTTCAATCCGCATACCGCTCGCTTTTATCACAAAAATTTTGCCTGCATACCGCCCAAAAACCCGCTCACCGCTCTTCGTCCGAACGCGTCCAATGTGCGCCCTTAGCCAGCCTCACATGTGCCGCCGGGGGCATTGTTTACCAGCCAGCCTCCGCGGTAAAAATCCAAGCATACAATCAGAACATTTCGTATTATTACAGTGTTTTTGGTGATTTTATCTGCAAAATAATTGACCATGGGCCCCAAGAAAGCTTCTAGTGCCAACCCTACAGCAATAAGGGTGAGAATTACTTATAGAGATGAA